AGATATTACGGAAGTTCATTGCAAAAACTGTAATGCCTTGACATTCACCAAATTTAATAAACTGCTGGATTATTTGTTATGTCTTCAGGAATTTCTACATGCTCTAGATTGGAATAAGGTTCCACGAATCCATTCCCAGTCTTATTCGTCTTACAGTAACACAACAACAATATTATAGGGAGGGGCTTTTCTTTGTGAATATTTTAAAAGAGGTGACGAGTCTCAACTTATGAGTTACAAGAATACAATGACAGATTATCAAAAAACATCATCTATGGTAAACCCATTACGGTGATCAACGGCTAACAAATAAATCTTGATGCGTAGCTACTACTTGAGATCAAACACTCATATAGAGAGATAATAGCAGTAAAGATAAGAAATAACCTTGGGGACTTTGATCGAGATCTATTACGATGATCACTCTTGTATCCAGAAGAGGAATCCCTTTGCCTGACAGGTGACCGTGATATTGACCTATCTTGTCCTTGACGATTTAAGTGTGAGGTATGCTTTTTTGGTGATGAAGACACATGTTTCACAGAAGAACCATTTGTATGGTGGGATATTTGTCGAGACCCTCGTGGAGAAGCAGGATTTTTCTACCATCACACAATCCATGATCTCCTTGGTGTTGGAGACGTGTGAATACAGGGGAGAGAGAGAGAGAGGTGGGAACTATTGTGAAGGGAAACAAAATAGGGTTTTTACTTTTTCATCAAATATATTACTAAATTTATCTGAAAAAAAAATATTATATTACTAAAATAATAGATCCGACCCACAAAATAATATCATTTTAATAATAGACCCATAAAACGACGCCGTTTTACATAGACTAATTATCACAAGAATCCCTCAATGTAACACAAGCAAAAATATTTGCGACAGAAAAAACTCCAGTCGCAAAAAATAAAATTTTATTGTATTTGTTGCCACGACAACGGCTTACCATTGCAAATAAATCATTTTAAACGATGGCATTAGGAATAGTCACAAAAAAAAATAATTTTGCAACGGTAAATGTACCGTCGCAAAAAAAAGTGATGCAAAAACCCAAAATTTTTGTAGTGGTAGAACAACTTTTGTTCTTGGTGTTTGATGATCTAATGGTTAGATCTTGAGTTATAATCCAAAGAAGGAAGGAGGAGTTGAAGAAGTGGAAGCTCTCTCTCTCTCTCCAACATTTTTAGCCAAGCAAAATGAAAGAGTAGAAGACTTGTCTTCCACCTTTTTGGCTATTCATATACTAGGTGTAGGAAGACATGTCACATTCCTATTAGTTGGAAATCTCCCATGGTCAATCACACTTTGAGATGTGTCAAATGTTGATAATGTTTGTTGGGTTGCCTTTTAATTATATTGTAAATCCTATGAATAAATCCCAATTGTTGAAATTTAACTACGTAGTCTCTTGAGGACATGAAAGGTCACCTTCATAAATTAACTCAATCGATGACAACTCAAGAATAGGGCAAGTTTCATGCCCAACAAAAGCCTTCTCAAAGTCAGTTTTAGACAGGTAGTTCTAATCCTATAGAATTTTTAAATGAGTAAGTTCAGCTCTCACCACTCTCAGGAGTGGTAAAATCATTGAGAAATCCCTACCATAGGCACTAATCGAAACTATTCCTACGCCTATGGTACCTGCTATTCTAGTCTCCCCTGATGAGACTGAGTCTAGAGAGGTTGAAGAGCCTCCATGTCCTATTCCTGCTCCCTTCCCTCAAAGAATCAAGAGACCCCAGAAGCTGAGCAATCTCACTGATATTTACAAGCTTTCAAACAAGTAAAGATCAATATTCCACTTTTGGATGATATCAAACAAGTTCCTTCGTGTGCCAAGTTCCTCGAGGACTTGTGCACAGTGAAAAGAAATCAAAATGTTCAAAAAGGGCCTTTCTGATAGAACATGCAAGTGCCATTATCCAACACAAGACTCCTTCTAAGTATAAGGACCCTGGGTGTCCCTCAATTTCTTATGTCATAGGAAACTTCAAGATTGAGTAGTCATTGCTTGATCTTGGAGCAAGCGTCAATCTACTCCCCTACCATGTCTACCAACAATTAAGTATAGGTGAACTCAAGCCTACTCGAGTCACGTTGCAGTCAATAGATTGTTCTATGAAAAATCCTAGGGGAATTGTAAAAGATGTGCTTGTCCAAGCGAACAAATTTTATTTCCATGTTGACTTTATAGTATTGGACACCTAACACAGTTGCACACTCAGGGAGTCAAATTCCTATTATTCTTGGTCGACCCCTTCCTTGCTATTTTGAATGCATTCATTAATTGCAGGAATAGGGTCATGAAACTCTCATTTGGGAATATGAATTTAGAGATGAATATCTTTGATATATAAAAAAAATTGAGTGAGGAGGAGGAAGTGAGGGAAGTAAATTCCATCGAGTCCATGGCATAAGAACATTTTAATACAACTTTCTATGGGGACTTTCTTGAGACATACTTGGCCGAGTCCATCACTTCTGAATTCAATTCTGTCAAGGGACAAAAGTGTTCGACTCTAGCTAGGGAGCTGGAGTTAGTTCATTTTCTCTGGCCATGGGTGCTCAAGTTAGAGGAACTTGCTCCTAGTGGTGTAAAACCACTATCTTCATCTGAAAAACCACCAAAACCAGAATTGAAACCACTTCCATGCACTCTCAAGTATGCATTTCTTAGAGAGGGTGAATCATACCTGGTGGTCACTTCATCCACACTCACATTGGACCAGAAGTCCAAATTATTAGAAGTGCTTAGGCGACATAGAGAGACTATTGGTTGGACCATTGTTGACTTAAAGGGCACAAGGCCTTTGGTATGTAATCATGTTATTTATCTGGAAGTGGATTCAAAACCTTCTCACTAGATGCAGCGACGGTTGAGCCCTTATCTAAAGGAATTTGTTAGGGCTGAGGTCTTAAAATTCTTAGATGCGGGAATATCTTCCCAATATCAGATATTAAGTACCCAAGTTATGCCCAAGAAATTTGGAGTTACAGTAATTAAGAACGAGGCAAACAAGTTAGTACCAACTTGAGTTATTATGGGGTGGGGTGGGGTGTGTGCATTGACTATTGTAAGCTAAATCTAGTGACCAAGAAATACCACTTTCCTCTTTCTATTTTTGGATCAAGTTTTAGAAAGGATAGATGGTCATGTTTTTTATTGCTTTTGAGAAGGATATTCTAGGTACAACCAGATTGAGATTGCCTTGAATGACTAGGAAAAAATGACATGCACCTGCCATGTGGCATTTTTTCTTATAGGATAATGTGGTTTGGCTTGTGTAATGCTTACGTGACTTTTCAAAGATGTATGCTGAGCATCTTCAGTGATATGGTGGAGAGATGTTTAGAAGTCTTCGTGGATAACTTCTTTGTTTATAGTGATTCGTGTGACCTTTGTCTGGCGAATCTTAAAAGTGTTCTCATATGGTGTGAGGAAACTCACTTGGTTCTTAATTGAGAAAAGTGTCACTTTATGACACAAGGTATTGTGTTAAGCCATATTATTTCATCTGAAGGAATAAAGGTTGATAAAGTGAAAACTAATTTAATTGGCAATTTACCTACTCCAAAAAATGGTCAAAGATGTTATATTATTCTTAAGGAATGCAGGCTTCTATAGAAGATTCATTATGAATATTAGTGTTATATCTCGTCCTATGTCCCATGTCCTTAGTTAGGAGGTACCTTTTTGTGTGGGATGCCACATGCCAAAAAGCTTTTGAGAAGCTTAAAGGTATGCTAATTTTTACGCCTATCATGCAATCCCCCGACTAGTCTCTGCCCTTTGAATTTATGTGCGACGCTAGTGACTATGTCGTTCGAACAATATTAGGGCAAAGAAAGGATAAAAAGCCATATGTAATATACTGTGCAAGTAAAACTCTTAGTGATGCTCAAATGAATTATTCAACTACTGAAAAAGAGTTACTTGTAGTTGTTTTTGCCTTGGACAAATTTCGTTCTTACTTGGTAAGCTCCTCAGTTGTGGTTTTTACTGATCATGCAACCTTAAAATGCTTGCTGACAAAGGAGGATGCAAAGCCACAGTTACTCCATTGGATACTCCTACTACAGGAGTTTGACCTAATTATACAGGACAAAAAGGAAGCAGAGAACGTAGTAGCCAAGTTTGTTGGGCCATAGGTGCCCAAGTTTGAGGAACTTGCTCCTAGTGGTGTAAAACCACAATCTTTATTTTAGTTTTAGATTTATTTTTGGTTGTTAGGAATTTATTTATTTATTTAGGAGAATTAATTAGGAAGCGGAAGGGGTACACTTGGAACCCCAAACGTTTTGCATGCATCCAGATGCAATCACTCCCTCCGGACACAAGTGTTAATAGTGCAGTTGGAGAATCAGCAGACGATAACGGTTGGGGTGTTGATTTATTTTTTATGTTTGAATTTTACTTGTTTTTAGAAAATCTTTCAACATTATTTTTATTTTTTTAGGGCCCAGCTGTAATTTTTGTTAAAATAGGAATTTAGAATAATCTAGATTGGGATGTGAGGATGCTTAATGATCACAAAAACATTTTAGGGATAAATTTTCAAAAATTTTGAATGATTATCACAAGGAATTCGAAGAGGTTGGAATTCCAAACATTTTAAGCAAAATGTGCACGTTTGGACTCAACCACTCCGTTTGGACGCACCGATCCAGAGAGTTGGAGCTGTCCGAACGCAACCTTCAGCACAGAAGCATGTCTTAGGTTATAAACGAGAGGACGATCATCCTTTTCAAAACATATCAAAACCCTTTCTTTTCCTCCAAGCTTTCCTCAACCTTACCCTCTCTAAACCGAGTTTTCTTCCATCCATCCTTCAATAATCTTCAGCAAATAATCAAAGCTCCATCAAGATTCAAGGTTTGATTCTCTAAATTTAAGACTTAGTTTTCTTTTCTTAACTTAGGGTAAATCTTCACACATTTTTAACCTTACTTCTCAAGAAACTTTTCATCTTCTCCAAGTTTGTAGGAGATCTTCAATGGCATCCAAGAAAGCTCGAGTAGGCATTAGTGCTCGAGGAGACAAATCACTTATTGATGATTGTCTACGAGATAAGACGACATTTCCTTCATTACAAACAAATGATAGGTGTTATCATTATTTTTCTTCTCGTCCCATTGGGTTAGAGCGTGCTTGGATCTTGAAGGAGTTCTTGGGGATTGGAGTTGTTAAAATAGTGCAGGCTAATGGATGGGATGGTAGCTTAAAGAAATTAGGGAAGAAAGCTACTCTTTTGATTCGTGAATTCTATGTCAATGCTGAAACGATAGATGATAAGAGTTTTAGGACTTCAGTGAGGGGGATTAGTTTTGTTGTGGACTCCTCGATGATATCCCTATTGATTGAGCTTGAGTTGATATCGGAGCCATTCTTCACTTCGACCACCCTGTATGACATGCAGGTGGTGCCGAGAGAACTGACTAGAAATCCTCATTTTGAGTATGTTAAGGGAGAGGGGATGATGTTTAGGCAGATGACAAAGAGGTATAAGATTCTGCATCGGAATTTAGTGGTTTTTTTGTTCCTGTTAGCACCAGAGAGGCATATCTTTACAAATAGGGATAGGTTCTACGCCCTCAGGACTGGACAAATTGTATGTTTGTCCTCTGTCATTCTTTGGGAGATGTTGTGAGCTTTAGAGGATACCCCTAAGGATGCCCCCCTTTTGTTTGGCTATTCGATGATCTTTATCCAGATGGTTTAGGGCGTGGAAGTGATGGCGGAGGTGTTAAGGAAGCAACACTTCTTAGATTCAAGAGGTGTGGCTCCTATTTCTGATGCAAGTAGGATTTATGAGGCATTGAGATACATGGTGGGGACTTTCGCTGAGCAAGGCAAAATTTTGCACAACCTCTATCGTGGACCAAAATGTGGTGATGGCTCTTCATCCTAGACTATGGACATTCTGAGATCTGTTTTAGTCTATGTTTAGTTTTTGTTTTTATCAAGTTATTTGGTTTTAGTCTATATTCAAAGGCCCAAACGTAATGTAGTTGAGTCAGGGCTTGACTTAGTCAGTTTTCTTTTATATTAGTAATAGTCTGTAATGAAAACCCATTTTGACTAGTTATATGCTATGGTTTCATTACTAAAAAAAAATTATGAGTATTAATCTTCTAATTATATTGAATTTTGTGCATATAATGAGATGAACTATTAGATGATTAGTCTATTATAGAACTGTAAACTGCACTTCAATAGTATGAATTAAATTTACAATTGGACCCATTATTTGTGCACTAATGACTAAGCATGTATTAGAGGTTAGAAAAATGACATTATTTTGAAACTTTATACATATAGTGGAGAGTATATTGTATCCCTGGTGAGTTCTATAACTTTTTCACTATTGGAGAGATATCTACATTTGCTCAGAAAAGAATTTTATTTACTGATTCCTTGAATAGTTTCAGTACTTGTTTTGATCAATCAGGATATACTGAGTGATTATTTGATTCTGAATTATTAGCATAAGGAATGTGTTATTTAAGACTCTTGAGATATGATCTTAGGTCATATTTGTTAATTTGAGCCTTAGCCTTGATTCTTGAAATCAGTTATTCTTGAAAGCCATGTTTGATCCATTGATTAACTTTCTTTTATTTTCCTATAAATTTAACTGAGCCTAGATATTGAAAGAATTATCTTTTGCCTTGGTTATCTCGAGAATCAAGTATGAAATGAAGTTTTGTGGTGAAAAAGAAGGAAGAGAAAAATATGTGCTGTAAAAAAAATATAGAGAAAATGTGATCAAAAGAAAATTTGCTACATTGTGAAAAAGAAGAAAAAAAAAGGAAAAAAGAAAAAATGACAAGTGCTGCATTTGTGCTTACAAGAAGAATGTATTAGTTTCAAGAAAAAGGGATATGAAATTATTCGCAAGATGACTTTTTGAATTCTAATTCCTTCATTTCTTAACCTCTCACCTAAGACCACATTACAACCTAGGAAAAGTCCTTTTTGATTTCAAGATTTGATAATGATGTGTGACTTATATGAGTAAAAAAGATGATAATCATTATTTGATATAGTTATGTTGATTTCTGACCATGAAACTATGCTAATTCCTTTCTTTGAAAATAGCTGTGACTGTTGTATCATATATGGGTTATACTTTATCTTGTTACAATAATTCGACTCACATATGCAAAATGAGGGAAATAACCAGTATAGTCTGAGTGAATTTTTGTTGATTGTACAACTTAGGATTGATTTGATGCTAGCAGCTGATAGTTGAAGGGTAATATGTTTTTGACCTAATCTCTGATTATGAAAGTTCATTCTTACACTACACACAGTTTCAGTTGCAAATGTAATTTGTAAATATTGGTGTGTAGTTTGTAGTTCTATGATTTGACTTGGCATGCATTTATTCATATTTTTATTGTAGCTGAGTTGTTTGATCATTGGTTGAGTTATATGGCCTATTCATGGTAATAGGAAAAACAATGGAAGTTTGTAAATATTTTCATTGGAAACCTAGACGAGACTATGACTTGTCCACAAGGAGAAACCTAGGGGTTTAAAGGCTTATTACATAAGCTAAATGCAATCGTGAGTCCTACGAAAGTTGATTGTTTAGTTGTTTGTTGTTTTTTTATGGATAATCTTCCTAGGGACTAGTAAGATGTAGGTTGGGGGGTGTGATTGATCATGTAATTTACCATTTATTTATCTGTGTATTATGACGAATTACACTTATTTTGAATTAAATATGGTTTAATACTTTGATGTCATGCCTGATGGTATTTTCTGGTTTAAGTGATTTATCAGGTGAAACAGGATAATTGAGTTGACTTTGAATGGGTAATAAATTGCTTGGATAGGGGAGCTAAGTGCAATTACAATGGTCAAGCTGATGACCAAGAGGAGGACCCCCAACTACATACCACAATCTGTTTGGATGCACATCCTCAGTCCAGATGCGAGCAAGAGTTTCATAATCTTATGAAAATGACTAAGTATAAAAAACGATACGGAGATAGGCTGTCCGGACACAGCTCTTCCGTTTGGATATAGATGATGAGAATCCAATTCTAGAGAATTCAAGGTGTTCAGACGCGGTTATGCTTGCGAACGCTCATTTGACGATACAATGTACTTTTTTCTAAACGCGTAGGATTGTCCGTACTCTACAGAGTTCACCAAGTCAATAGTCAGGATTATGAAGACCTTCGTCTGGATGTAGTCACTCCATTTGGATGTGCGTAGTTTAACTTGCACTGTACTTATTTACCCTAGGAGGATTCTTTTTATGTATTAAGAATTAATTTTGGATTTAATATAAATAGTGAGATTGGCCTCAAACAACACTTTAAGTAAGAGTCTTCTCTTGTCATGGCTCATTGTGAGTAAACTCCTTTGTACTGCTAGCTAGGGATTTGGTTTTAGGAATGTATTTCAATTCTTTTATGAATGCAATCATTAAGTAACCTATGTTTTATAGATTTATTATTCTTCACATATAGATTTTGTTTTTTGGGAAGATTCACATATAGATTGAAAGAATGATTTTAGTACATGATTGTGCACTGTAAAATGGTATGATTTCCTAGGTTGATTCCTTTCTAGGAATAATTGTAAGATTCCTGTGAGTTCACAAACCTGGTTCTTTGTTGATTATTTTCTGTTCAATCGACTTATATTTTTCAAAGTAAAATATTCCGGTAAACTACGTTGACGTTGGAAATCAACTGAGATGAACACATGATTGCAAGAATTTGATAATTGTTGTGCATGAATAATTCCTATTCCGATGTTAGAAAGTATTTCTTCTCCCATTAAATTTGTCCTAGTTTGGTATAAATTTTTGAATCGTATTCTTCACCTTTTCACTTTAAAGTTCTTCCTTTTACCTGTTTTATATCATTCCCAATTCCTTGTGGATCGACCTTGGTCTCACTGCAAATTTACTAATTCTTAACCACCTTTACTTGGGTGTACCCATTTGGGATTCAAGCACTAGTTGAATTTTATTCAGGCATACCCTTCTCTTTTCAGCCTTATGATGAAGGTGCCTTACTTGAAGTCCTGGTTTTCCTAAACTGAGCTTAATCAAGGTTAAAAACTAATGCATACTGTGAGAATTTTTTGAGGGAAATAAGATTTTATTGAACTTCTTCCTATATCAAAAAGATTACATGAAGCCACTAACTAAAGAAGAGAAGAAAAACCTTCAAGAAGGAGGTGGACTATTGTCTTTTTTGAGCTTTATTCAAACCGATTCCAATTGAAAATACTTCTTTAGATGTTTTGCATTCCATGCATGTGCCATATGTCTTCCTTCCAAATTTTTGAGTTCACAAGTATCAAGCCTGATGATTCAATTTACTTGATGAGGTCTTTCCTAGTTTTATCCCAACTTCCCCTCTTTGGGATCTCTGGAAGTAGGAGTTACTTTCTGTAGGAGTAAATTTCCTAAGGAGAATTTTCAAATCTTCACCCTTTTGTTATAATACCTGGAGCTCTAATTCTGATAGGTAGCTACTCTGATATGAGTTAGCTCTCTTTTTTCATCCACCAGATCCAAGTTAATTTTGAGCTATTCTTTGTTATCTTCCTCATTATAGTGTTGGACTCTATAGGTTTCTAGCCCCATTTCAATTGGAATTATTATTTCAGTCCCAAAGGCTTAGGCAAATGGGGTTTTTTCGGTGGACTGTTATCCTAAATGCCTATAGGATACTTGGGGAGCTCTTTTACTCATTGTCCCTTTACAACTTCTAACCTTGTTTTTAACCCTTTTAGCAAGGTTCTAATACTCACTTTAGTATTTCTATTAGCTTGACAATGGATAGGGGACAAGTAATGGTTTTGGATTCCAAAACCAAAAAAAGAATTCCCTGAAGGTATTATTGTCAAACTACTTTCCATTGTTAGTTACCAGGACTCTAGGAACTCTAAAATGACAAACAATGGATTTTCATATGAAACCTTTAAGTTGTTGCTCTATGATTGTAACCAATTGCTTTACCTTTGACCACTTAGTGAAGTAGTCAGTGGCTACTGTTGTGAGCCTGTTCGGTCTTTTTCCAGTTGACAATGGGCCCACTATGTTAATGCCCCATTGTGTAAAAGGCCAAGGACTAGTCATGGGGGTGAGCTCTTAAAGGGGGCTTTTGAGAATGTTGGAGAATCTCTAGCACCTATCACAGCTTTGTGAGAATCTGATGGCATCTTTTTGCTTAGCAAGCCAATGATATCCTTGGCCTAGAGTCATATGAGCCAAGGCTCTTCCTCTAGAATGGTTGCCATCAATTTTTTCATAAATCTGGCTAAGAACATACCAAGCTTCTTCATGCCCTAAACAACGTAAGTATGACAAAGAGAAACTGTAAACCCCACCCTTTTATCTTTATATATGTATGTAGGTTTATGTAGCAAGTTATTATTTCTTTTAAAAATGTTAATGTGGAAATTCGAGGAAATAGTAGTTAAAACTTAGTTTAACTTGCAAATATATGAAATCGTTGTAATATAACTTGTACCAACTAGGTTGGAGGTACAAAAACATGTTGAATAAGCTTGGGTTGAATTTGGAAAGGTTTAGAATGGGTTTGGAATGAAAAATAGAGGAAATAGACAAATTTGGACAGGACCTACCGGTAGTACGCTGTCCAGTGGTTCCGAACTACCAGTAGTCAAAAGGTAGTAAATGTCCAATAGATCCGAACTACCGGTAGTCAACAGGTAGTCAGTGGCGAGTGGATCCGAACTACCTATAGTCAATAGATAATAAATGTCCAGTAGTTCCGAACTACCGGTAGCTCAACAAGTAG